GGGAGAAGAGAAAACGGGACAAGAGATGAGAGTAAGGAGAAGCTCCAACGATAAATTAAATTCACTTTTAAGAGCACCGCTTTTCCGCTGGAAACGCTCATTAGCGTTGATTGTGAGGCAGCTCGTTCACGTTCTGCGGACGCATTCTACACACGTCGCTATGCAGTTTGCCAATAGCGATGTGGTCTCGTCTCGAAACCGACGAAATCAATCCGCGTCTCGATCTCACGTAACAAACGAACTGAATTAAACGAACGAGGATCGTATTTACCACAACCGAACGCTTCAGATGTATTTTTCGTATAATACTTAACGAAATGATATCGCGCGAGGTAAAGAGATAAAATTGGAGCGGATAAATTATATAATACGCGAATATACTAGTATATATATATATATATATATATATATATATATATATATATAAATCGCGAAAGTCAACGGGGCAAAACAACGCAATTAATTTTTCCAATGTACAATTATCGGCGGTATCCGTTACTATTTCTTTTGCGAACGTGTCGGACGTGTTTTTATCTAATTTTACCCTTATTGTATCAACTGACGGTAGAACGAATATTAATTAACGCAATCGAGGGACACCGAACGCGAATCAATAAATGTGTAATTAGGCCGTTTCTTATAGCAATCGCGCACGGAAAAAAAATGGATTTGAGTCTATGACGAAATTAACGACTAGGAGGATGATGTTGATCATGAATCGCGTAGCTTGCAGGCTGAAATAGCTTTTTCTTCTTAAGCTGCGTTACACTTGGCTCGCAAGCATTATTTTGTTCTTGTTTAAAATTTGATAAATAACAAGAATGAAATGATACTCGCGAACGAACGTCAAATGGAATGATACACTGAAAGAAAAGATTGATTGCTGCAACAATTTAGATAATAAAATATAGCATAGCATTTTTATATGGCTGCAGCAACCAGTTTTTGGTTGTAGCAGCAAATTTTTAGTTGCATTAGCCTATCGAAATCATATACTGACATTGCGGATATCGAAATCATATACTGACATTGCGGATAGGCTAACGCAACTAAAAATTTGCTGCTACAACCAAAAACTGATTGCTGCAACCATATAAAAATATAAAAATGCTATGCTATATTTTATTTGCTATCTAAATTGTTGCAGCAACTAATCTTTTTTTTCAGTGTATCTTTGATAATGTAAATGACTCTCAACCCCTCGAGATCCTATTCGGTCAGTAACAATAGTCGAATTAACCCCTAAACGTCTTTTTAGTGTGGCACATATTCAGAATTTTTTTTTTCTAGATTGATACTTCTATAATTTTGAAAATTAGTTAACCTATTTAGCACAGAAAGAAGTGGAGTGTTTTGTTGAATCAAATTTAGTTAAATACAGATCTATGAAAATAATTTTATTGGACCATCAAAATAATTATGTAGGATACTCAAATTGGTTACTGAAATATCAAAACTTGTTGTAGCATTGGTTATCATTAAGATTCTAATTATTTTGATAGATCAAAATTATTTTCAGATCTGTGTCTGTGAACGGTATTCATATAGTCCGTTCTTATTTCAAGACTGTCTTAAGTAATGCTTAAGACGCTAATGCGCCCTTCTGATTGGTTCGTAACTTCTTAAAACTGCACTTAGATGATCTTGAATATAAAATCTGAATATCTGCCTATAACTAAAGGAGAGACAACTTTCACTTTTTTGTGATCCATCATTCGTGGTTTGTTTTATTACTACGTTGTCTTATTTATTTTTTTCATGGAAACCAAAAATTATTATAATAACAATACTATACTGAAGGAAAAATTGGTTGTGTGTGTGAAACAAATTTAATAAAATCATTACTCACATCGTTACAAAATTACTGTCAATTATGCTTCAATTATTTTGTTGATCCAACTCTAAATTAATTTTTAAATAATTGAAGAATAATAATTTGTAACGATTTTGATTTCGTAACGATGTGAGTGAAGATTTCATTTTTTATTTCAAATATCAATTTTTTTCTTAAGTGTAGCGTCATTATTATGATAATTTTTGGTTTCCATGAAGAAGGATACATAAGAAATTGTAGAAATAAAACCAAACGATTGCTAAAAAAGTTGTATAAAAATCTATTAAAAACCCCTTATTAAATCCACACTTGGCTGCTCTTCTGATGCAACTTTGTGTAAACCACGCACATAATGCACTCTCGTATTATTGCCTCATTGTGAAATTGTCACGCGAACTCTGCCGCTCTTGTATAGACAATGATAACGGGAACAACGCGAGAATCAAAGAAAGACGAATATACTGTCGGTTGGAAATAGTTTCGACGGTTGTTGAATGAACCGGACCACGAGTTACTAAACGAGCAATTTATGCGCGGGCGTTATCGGCCAAACGAGAGAGAAACACCTGTTCGTTAACTCATTCGTCGACGGAGACGACGACGAGGACTACGACGACGACAACGACAAAGTGCTTCGCTTTCTAAGGCAAACTGCCCACGATTTACCATTCACCATCTAGAAATTAGTCCTGTCTGTCGTAGACATCGGGATGTCTATCGACAGATTCGAATAATTCGTCTTGCTACAATTGGACGCCACGGAATGACATTTATAACCATCAGCTATATGTATACCTATAAATCTAAGAGAAGAGAAAATCTCACGGATCTTCTCTTTTGGACTCTCTTAAATCCGCGCGTGCTTGAGAATATGGGTTGCCCTCCAAATATAGCAGTTGTAAGTATTCATGTTACGGTTGTAGGTGTTCAAGTTAACCGCGTGACTGCTTGTGACTTCACGAATTTCCAGATTTATATGTCTAAAGAGACGAGGAAGATCTGGCACGTTTAGAGACGCTCGCGGCGAGAAATCTCTCGCAGAGACGAGCAGAGAGCCTGAGGAATCTCTCCGCGGGATTTCTAATCTCAACTGAATGCCTTATATCAAATTATAATACGTAATGCCTCGCATAATTTACGCGTTCGCTTGAACGGTGAACGGCGTAAAGCACCGCAAAGCTGTCTCTCTCTTTCTCTCCGCGAAGAGATCTCATGGAGAAATACTGCGAGTAAATTTACTATGCCCTACATTAGATACGAGCGTAATACGAACTGCCGGAAATACACCGCGAGAATTTCCAATAATTTCGTTCACGCCGAATGTTGCGAGTCGCGCGAAACTCCTTTGCGTTTTAATCAATGAACGGATTGACGCGCGTCTTAATCGTTTAATTATTCACAAGTAACACTGCATACGAGAGATGTATGTACAGCTATTACGAAAATGGCACTAATGATATCGAAACATTGTAAATTTCGGCAAAATACGAATATAACTGGTGCAATAGTAACAAGATTTTTCGAAACTACACACTGAGAGAAAAGTGATTTGGTACTTAATTAAAAGGATATATATTAATAATTGTATGGTACAATAATAATAATTAGAAATTCTATTTTTATAATTATTATAATTTTTATAATTTCTTAATATTAGTAATGACAATTATATTTATATAATATCACAAATTAAATCGACGAGCAATTTAATATGCATGTTAATAAGCATCTTTAAAACACTGTAAAAAATTTATTGTGAAAAAAGTCTCAACTGGAATTCGAAGAATTTGAATGATATTTTTTTTGCAAGAAATTATTTAGATATTTTTAGATATTTATTAGCATCTGTAATATTAAATTGCTTATCAATTTAATTTTGTGATATTACGTATTCTAGTTTCAGTCTGTGATTGTGTTTCAAAACTGACAGATAATAATCAGTGCGCAGTTTTAGAACTGGAAAATTCACAGAAAAATATTATTATTATTAGGCATCAAGATCCACCTTTTCACTTATTTGTGTAAGGAATATTTCTCGATGCATTTTTACTTAATATAATTGTATATTTAAGTATGTAGTTCTTTGTACAATGCATAATTTTGACACCGAAAATGACTATGTACTATAATTATATTACGTATTTTTTCGGTATATTAAATTATATCGTTATTATTATGTATTTTTTCGGTATATAAAATTGTATAATTATTATTACTAACATTATAATAATAATAATAACTGTAAATATATATGTATATAGAGCTGCTAATCATAATTTTTACCATGTAATTATAGTCACAAATATCAAACACTTTTTTTCAATACGTTTAAAATATGTAACTTAATGTACATCTATATAATAATGACTACAAAGCTGTATTTTGGGCAAAAATTCAAGGCATTGTTCATACAAGTTATAGTGGGACATCGGATATTTTACATATAACGGAAAAAAAAACGATTATCATGAGTTTATTAAATTGCTAATGATGAATGAAAGTAATATCTTGATTTCTGCTCAAAATACATATCATATATTTTTTCTGTCAGCTTTTTACCAAATAGAACAGACTTGAACTTCAAACTTTCAAGCACGAAAAACGTTGCAAATTATTCATGGCAAATTTACAATTTTCCACAGAACGCAATAATTTTCTTTAGTAACATTATCATATGTAATAAACATAATAAATATGTGTACAAATAATACATTTAATATTCCAATATTTTCAAATTTACAAAATTAATGTTTATGAAATATGAAATATGAAAATACAGAGAATATTTTCTATTTGAATTTGTGCAAGGAATCCTAAAACTGTCAAACATTTAAATTCAGTAATATTCCGCGTTTCATTTTAATGCCTTTATACGTAGCTGTCAATGCCAATTTAAATTGACAAAGCAATTTATGTGAAATTTTAGAATTTCTCTCTCTCTCTCTCTCTCTCTCTCTCTCTCTTATTTTTATATTTATTTCTATTACTGTTTATTAAATCTATGTCTATGATCACTCAATTTTGCTATTCGCTCTTTTATAGAAATGCATATACGCTTTAGAAGATATCCCAGAGCGTCTAATAAATAACGATTCTGATCTCACACATACATACACACACATACACACGCATACACATCGCGAATACGTAGAAATTGGCCTCTTACCTTGCAATGGGTGCAGTTGTGGATGACGGAGTACGGCTGGGCGCAATCGTAGCGCGCCAGTACCTCCTCGAACTCGCAATGCAGCCTCGCGGCCAGGGCATCAACGAGCAACAGCTTGTCCAAGGCATCATCGCACTTCTTGCCGCCGTTTAGCACGTCCTCAAGCGGACCGCCCTTGCCCGGCGCCAGGGCGTTGAACACCGCGTGCTCGCAGCAGTGCCGTAGACGCAGCCGAAGCAGCAGATCACTTGGATTATTCTTCTTCATTTGACAGATGATCTTCTTGTGCGATTCCTCGAGATATAAAAGGCACTGTTCCTTCTCCTCCTTCTTTTCATCGGTGCTATATTTATCACCATGTCGACTGCCGCTCTCGCCTCCGTCCTCGACCCCCCTATTTATCTTCATATTATAGGTCTTCATTATCTCGGAAGCGTTTTTGCACAGCTTCGGGCAGTACTTGGGCACCTCCGGTGGAGGTGCTCCGCAACTACCCTGAAGATCGGTCGGCGCTGGTCCCGCCAGATCGCAGGCCGACAGCCAGGGATTCATTTGGTTCACCTCCCAAGTGTATTCGTTATAGGGGTGTCGCTGCTCGTCGGACTTCTCTTGATCCGATTGTTGCTGTTGCTGCTGCTGCTGCTGCTGCTGTTGCTGCTGCTGCTGCTGCTGCTGCTGCTGCTGCTGCTGCTGCTGCTGCTGCTGCTGCTGCTGCTGCTGCTGCTGCTGCTGCTGCTGATGACGATGACGCTCGCTATCGGTATTGTAATCGCTACCCTGAACGTATTGTTGCGAATACTTGTATTGGTGCTCGATGACCGTCGACGACGAGAACAACATGTCCGGCGGCGTAGTGTTACCCCGTTGTGCGGGATTCTTGGTGTGCGCGAGGGTCGGGTTCTGCGCGAAAGTCGAAGCGAGGTGACCTAAGGGACTGCTCGAGCACAATAGAGGCCACGCTAGAAGATATAACACGAACAGCAGCAGCCTGTAGTAGCTCCTGCGTATATGCGGCTTGTCTCCTCTTCCTCTTCCTTCTCCTTCGCCTCTTCCTTTTCTCCTAGTAATTGGCTTTTGGAACCAGGCAGTGTTATCGCTACATCTCCTCTCACTATACCATTCTCCTTTTTTTCGTCCTTGTCCATCGAACACCTCGTCCACTGTCAGGTACTCGCGTCCGTAGCCATCGACACGTTCACGATCTCTCTTCCAATCAAACGAAGAGGATTGCGATGCCCACTGATCACTCTTAGATACATCACTACTCGTATTCCCCTCGGTGTGGATGTAGTCCTCGCGAGACGCGTTTTCATGTTTGTATTCATCGCGCGGATTATCCGAGACACTAACATGCGCGCTGTCATTGCTTCCATCTTCCTCGTATTCGTCATGGGCCTTCTTGGACCCATCACTGTGGATTCTCTTTCGCTCGCAATGTACTTGTCCCTCGTTGTCATCGTCATCGTCACCGTCGTTTTCTCCATCGTCATCGTCGTCTCTGTCATCGCTATAGGCAGTGTAAGCATGCACGTTGACGAAAGAAACGGCCGAGGTAGCCACATCGGGCTCTTCCTCGGAGATCGCTCCGCTCCCTCGTCTTCTTCTTGACCTTCTTCTTGCTCTTCGCGGGGCCCGTCGCGGCGACGGACAATCAGCGCCAAGTATGCGCGTCCGCGCGCGCAACGCGTCGCCCTCATTATCGTCCTCGTGATCCTCGTGGCGATCACATGTGCGCGCGCGCACCACGCCGCGCGAAGCGGAATCGCGAGAGATGCGAAAGGCAGTGGCAGTTCCGGCTTTCTCATCGGGTTCGTGCCCGGTTTGGAAGTGTCGGGCTTTGTGATGGTATTGCGCGGCGGTGGATATGCTAACGTCGTCGACGACGCGATCGCGAATCGACCTGGAGAACGACTTGGACGTATACGAACGATAACCGGACCGTACGCACTCCACGAACGAGGTCGACGACAACGACGACGATAACCAGAGCTTCTGCTCCTTCTCCTTTTTCTGCACCCTTTTCTTCTCTTTTCTCCATTTTTTCGACGTAGGTGGTCCCGTGAGTCCGAACGGGTCGAGCAGCATGGGCGCGACGGGATAATCGGGGACGCTAACGTCCCCGACGTCCTGCCGTCGTCGTCGCGCACCTCCTCGTCGACGTTCCTTGACGTGCACGTTCGTAGCTGTACGATGCGACGTGCTTCGCCTTCCTCCACCAGAACCGATTGATCTTTTCGCTGCCGCTGCCTCCTTTTCCTCGATATCGTGCACGTCGACTGATGACGAAAGAGATGACTCGCGGTGGACTCGTGGCGTAGATAATCCGTATCGCAGCCGGGCTGCTGCAGGAGGCCCCGCATCGCTGCCACCAAATCTGAGGCCCGCCTCTCGGCACGCTCTCTGCTCTCCGACACTCGACTCTTCGTGACTCTGCTTCCCGAACGCCGTTCGCGACGCGACCCACGACGTTGCTTCTGCAGCTGCTACCGTTATTTCCGGTACGTCTGCTGAGACACGACGCGCTGAGGAACGCTGCGCAACGTGATCGTTCAGGCGATTCCGCTTCCAAGTGTTCCTTCGGAGATATATCGGAGATATTCTTCCACCATTCGATAACTCGTGCCAGATTTTCCTCACTTTCCCTTTCCACCGTGCAGCGATACACGTCAACGCCTTCCTGGACGGCTGATCTCCGCTCTCTTTTCGTTTCCGTTTCTTTTTTTGTACGCGTCCCTGATCGTTTCCGCGATAATAGGCAAACTCGCGCCACGATAATCCACGTCGTCGTCCACTTCGTCGCTCTGTCGGCGAGCGACCATTTGCCGGGGTTATATCCCCGCTGTTCGATGATGTCAGCCCCGCTCGTGCGTATCCCGGACCAGTCGCCCAGGTGCCTGCCTGAGCGGCCCGGGTTGGCGGGGCCCTTAGAAGTTCCCCTGGACCAACGTACCACGGCCGACCGAGACGGCGGCGACTGCGACAGTCGCGGCTGCTGCGGTGGTTGCGGCGACGACGACAATACCGGCGAGGAGTTCTCTCGACGGCGACAGCAACAACGGCAACGCAACGCGTTCGTAGTAATCCACCACCTCCGCTTCCGTTTCTTCCTCTTGCCACGCCACCTGCACCTCTTGCACTTTGTGTCTCTCGTCGACCTGGCGATGCCTTCTCTCCCTGATGCTGCTGCTGCTGCTGCTGCTGTTGTTGCTGTCCTCGCTGTGCCAGGTGTTGTGCGCCACTTCCGAGTGAGCGCGACGACGCCGGCAGCGACGGCAGCTCTCGACGCGCGCGACGACGTTGCGTGTATCGAGGACCTGATGCGAAAGCACCTGAACAACACCCGCTTCGTCGTCGTCGTAGTCCCCCTGCCGAGGCTCGCGAGCTCCCAGTTCCCTCGCGGGGCACCGAGGTTCATGCTGCATCCTGAACGCCCGGCTACGTACCCTCCTCCTCCTCCCTCTCTTTTTTTTCCTCTTCCTCCTCCTCCTCCTTCTCCTTGCACCCTCTGCTGCTGCCTATCGTCGCCAATGATCACGGCCGGTGGTGACACGACAATACGCACCACCACGACGATAACGACGACGACGACGACGACGACGGCGACGACGACGACGACGACGACGGCGGCGACGACGGCGATGACGACAGCGGTGACGATGACGCAGACAACAGCGGCAATCTGTTCAGAAATCGCCACATCCGAAACCTCATGGACGTATCCTGAGGTCACTGAGGTCGGTAACCGATTAACCAACTCGATCCAAACGTCACTAATGAAGATACGAAGAAGGCGCACTCACTCGAATTGCGTTGGGATTGCGATGATAGAAGATGAACACACGATGACTCAAACTCGACACAGCGACATTGATGTCACAGTTATTCTTCGGCGATGGTTCCTGGGCGAGAGAGGGAGAAAGAATGAAGGTTATGGCGTTTCACCACTCGAACCACACCATCGCCACCGCCACCCTCGCGTTCGCCTATCATCCAGAGGACGGGACCAAATTAACTACTCCGTGCAAAGAATTCACGTGTAAACCAAACTGTGCACTTTCTCTCTGTCTCTCTCTTTTTCTTACGATTATATTTCCGACGGAGGACGACAAAGGCGACGACGATTAGGATATCACGGCGACGACGATCAGGATATCACGGCGACGATGGGTATGGGCAGACACCAGCGGGTATCTCACGGTCGCGGCGAAGAAGGAACGTTATACAAAGGGGTATTGTTAGAATTAAGATATCATTGTGATAACGGGGACTGCCGCGACGCTGGAGGTACGCGCTGGAGGCCGCTCCGTGCTGGCGGTGGTGCTCAGGACCCTGCTGCTGCTGCTGCTGCTTCTGCTGCTTCTGCTGCTTCTGCTGCTGCTGCTGGCACCACCGTCGTCGCATCGGCGCATTGTCACCCCCGTGTGTGCAGCCTTGTCGTGGCGCTCCTTCGCGCCCGACGATTCCACTCTTGGATCTCGGCGATGGACGGCGGCACGCGCCACCGAAGAATAACGCTCCGTTCGGACGGATCTTCTTCGCAACTCGACAATAATAACGATAATGACGACAATAACTGGAATTAATGACATTTACTCGTCGCGTGACGGGGAAAATTCTTCTCATTCACAGTGAACATTGCGGGGATCTTCCACGCTGCTCATGACATTGATTTCATCCTCTCATTCTACCGATAGATTCTTCTTGGAATACCTAATTAATTAGCAGACTAATACTCTTTTCATTTCTCGTATCTTTTTAAGGCGCTTACAATACCAACGCACACGTGCGACGATCTAGCGCATGTACAGGAAAGGGAGAGGCGATGTTTCCGCATATATGAACGCGCAAGCACATTCCTCCTCGTCAGCGCGATTGTCGATAGGATTACTGATCGATATTGGTAATTGGTATATTCGTTATCTGCCTTTGCTTTCTTTTTCAGAGATGCAACGCTATTGTCTCGCGCACGGCCCCCAGTTCTCCGTTAATTATTTATTATTCTGCAAGAGATCTGATCTTCGATGATCATCATCTACGATCGCGAATATCGGGTACGTCGATCACGAGCGGGTGTTACGCGTGAGGGGGAGTGAGGGTGAGAGAAAAGACAGGGTAGGGGGTGTTGTTCGCGCGACACGTACGACAGTTTCGAAAGGGTTACGACGAATCCACTCTGTTCGCGCTCCCCCGAACGGGGGAGGGTTAGACCCGCGTCGGGTGCGTCGGGTTGCGCGGTGGATCCGACGTATCCGGATGTTACACCAAGGTGGTAATAGGTGTGCTCTTCTCTTATATTTCTTGTCTTAGAATCTCGACTCTAAAGGATGGTGAAGGCGACGGAGGTGGCGAAGGCGGCGGTGACGGTATAACGACGGCGACGGCGATGACGGTCGTACGTCGGAACAAGTCCGGCGACATAGGAAAAGACGGCAGGGAGCACAGTGGGCGAGCGCACCAGGCTAATAGTAGGACACACACACACAACGTATACACACCACTCTTTTGCTTGCTCGTTCGCTCGCTTACTCGCTCGCGGTCGAGCGCGCGCGCGCGTGCCGACACGACGTTACGAAGAAGAAGAGGAAAGAAGAAACACCGCGGAAGCGCGATCCGCGCCGACACCAGGCACTGCGCGCTAGCTCGTTATCGGCTAGCTCCTGTACTACACGGACGTACCCGAGGATCCCTCTTGGAGAGACTCGTCGCAAAACTTCGGGGGAGAGCGCCCTCTCTCTCTCGCGGATCTCTCATGTCCCTCCGTGTCGCGCTGCCAATCGCGCGCGCGCGCGCACCATGCACCTCTTCGTCATCTACCCCTACCGCTCCCTTCTCCTTTCTTTCGCCAACCCCCGACAACCTCTCAGTATCCACTCTTCGCACCCTCCACTCTACCTCCTGTTCTCCATCTACATCTCTATCTTACGTCAACTATCTTTCTCCCTCTCGCGCGATGCGCGCTCATCCTCCTTTCTCTCCCTCCGAAACCTCACCAACCCCTTCTATCGAGAATTTCCACCCACTCTCTCTCTCTCTCTCTCTCTCTCTCTCTCTCTCTCTCTCTCTCTCTCTC